GGAGGCGGGCAGGCGGGAAGAGCAGAGAGACGCGCGACTCGACGAGCGGGCAGCGAGAAGCAGGGAGTGAAAGAGGGAGGTCCTTCTCCTTGGCTTGTTCTCCCTCGTCCTCGTCTTTCTCCTCCTCCCCCTCCTCCTCCCCATCCTCCTCCTCCTCCTCCCTCCTCATCCTCCTCCTCCTCCTCCTCCTCCTCCTCATCATCATCATCATCATCATCATCATCATCAGCAGCAGCACAGCAGCAGCAGCATCATCATCATCATCAGCATCATCATCATCATCATCATCATCATCATCAGCAGCAGCAGCATCATCATCATCATCATCATTATCATCCTCATCTTCTTCTTCTTCCTCCTCCTCCTCCCTCCTCCTCCTCCCTCCTCCTCCTCCCTCCTCCTCATCCTCCCCCACGTCGTCGTCCTCCTCCTCCATTTCCTCCCTCTGCCCATTCAGTCACTCACTCACTCACTCACTCACTCATTCACTCACTCACTCACTCCGACTGCTCTCCCTAATGATCCATACGCGAACCTCATAGGTACCCTCATCTTCATATATCTCTCTGTCTCTCTATATATATACATATCTCTCTGTCTCTCTTTATGTATGTCTCTCTGGTTCGTTGTTGTGTCTCCCCCTTTTCTCTAGATATGTGTATGTATGTGTGGTCGCACCCATACACAGAGGTCTACATACAACAAGACAGGCTGTCACACATACATAGATACATACATCCATGCATGCATGCATGCAGGCATACACACATACATACATACATACATACATACGTACGTACGTACATACATACATACGTACATACATACATATGTACATACATACATACATACATACATACATACATACATACATACATACATACATACGTACATACATACATACATACGTTCATACATACAGGTAGACATCATACATACATGCATGCATGCATGCATGCATGCATACAGACAGACATGCAGATATACATACCTGCATGCATACCTACATACCCATATGCATACATGCATTCATGCATACACTCATACACAACACACGTGCATGCCTGCACACATGCATGCACACGTCTATACATTACATGAACAACATAACATGGCACAGCCTATAAAGCCATAACATAACATGTCATACCGTATGTACGTACATTCATACGACTATACATACAAACATGCATGCATGCACGCACGCATGCATGCATGCGTACATGTATATATACAAACCTACATACCTATGTATATGTGTGTGCGTACACAAATGCAAACAGGTATGCATACAAACCGTCATATGCACCTGCATGTAAGCATACAGCCTACAGCCATACATGCATACACGCATGCAGACATAGCTATATATACACACCTACATACACACAATACCTGCACACATGTGTGCATATAAACACGCATGCATGGAAACATGCATGTATGCATACCTACATGCATACACTCATACATAAACGCACATATATATATGGACAGCTACATACATGCGCGCATACATGCATACATACATACGTGCATACATGTATACATATAGACACACATACATACGTACGCAGGTGCGTACCTGCATGCATGCATACATGTGTATATACAAGCATATAAACAGCCATACGTACATGAATGCATACATACATAGCTACATACATACACACGTACGTACATGCATGCATACATGCATGCGTGCACATATACAGTCATGCATACATACGTGTGTGGCCGCATGTGTGTATGGCAAGGTATGTGTATGTTCCATGTGTCGCCAATGATGTGTAACAATAACGGTTTAATTGTACATACATGTGTATGTGTGTGCACCCACTACTGTACACCGAGCCTCGAAGTGGAGTGTGCCCCAAGTCATCGAGAATTCTCTGTGCTCTGGATCCAATATTGTATTTATTCGACGTGCAAGTATCAGCCGTGCTAGCGATTGGCGGGGAGCTCCCAAGCATCTAATGCCACGCGGGGCCTGAATCCTTCTCGACACGGCGCCCTCTGGAGGCGCGATCAATTGCGCTGTTAATGATGGTGTGATCGGCTGACTTGGCCGACATGTCACTACAGTCCTTCGTTCGCTCATGTCCTCCTCCTCCTCCCCCCCGTCTGCGTCTCAAGATCCCTCCTGTCCTCGCTGGCTAGATGGCGGTTCGGGTGCCACACCGTTACCCATCGGTCGCAAGAAGTAGGTAGAACCATGAAGTTGGAAGGCGTTGGAAGCAGGTTGGGTTTCCGTCCGCCTCCTGAAGGGGAGGGAAGAGGGAAAACCACTCGACTCTTGAAGTAGGAAGGCGGCTAAAGTAGACTGGAATATGGGACTCCAAGAATTAAGTATCGTTTAACCGATCCCCATCCCCAGCGGCGTGGCCTGGGCCACACTCGCCGATTTACCCCCCTCGATGGGGATACAGGTCGTTCCCTTCGGGTTTCGAGGGGTGTATCCCCAACTGGGGTGGTATTTTTTGGGCGCCCGAGTTATCCG